CATATTGGTAAGCCCGATTCCCGATACAAGATAGGATGCTTCTGCTTCGGTAACATTGTGAATGTCTACTGCATACTCCGGAAAATTTACGTATGGTATGTCGAAGAATATATACAGGATAAATGTGCTCAACAGAAAAACCGAGAATTCAGGAATTATTATTAACATTTTTGAAGCAGAAGTCCATTCCAGAAATGATTCCCATATCTGAAAAGAAGTCCAATTTAGTTTCACAACTGCCTTAAAAAGGACAAAAATTTCCGAAAAAACGATTTCTTTTTTTTTATAAACAACGATCTGTTTTTCTGAAGAATGCTAATAGTAGGTGAAACTATTCCTCGCAATTTTACTGGATCAATTCAGGACGATGGTACTGCAATGCAAATCATGCAGCAGACGCGCCACCACGTTAGTTATCGTTTTGTTTTTTCCATTACTATTCTTCGTCAGTTTGACGGTTCCTGCATCGCTTCTATTTCCCCCAATCATTCATCCTCTGTTGTCCATTACATGCATTTTAACAAAATGGTGGTTAGGGGGCTGTACTGATGATTCCCATCTGGTTGCTGCTTGTGTTTACAGCTAAAGAATGAAATACGTGCAGAATGATTTTTCACATTAAGACCAATTTTTTTTTTCCTCACAAAATGTTACACCCACATGCATACGGGTTCCAAACCGCTCAAAGGTACACTATAAAAGCTGAAAGGAGGGCCATGTTTTTACTTCATAGGGCGCCAGGACGGGCTGAAAGCGGAGCGGAAAGATAAACCACACCTTGCTAAACTGGAACGCTGATCGTTTTCTTTTTCTTCGATAATAGACGGCAGGTGCGGATGGTATACGACGATACATACCATCACCGAGCAGTACAAATTTCCACCGAAAATTTAGCACATTTGCGGCCGGTACACGTCCTTGGGCAGCAGGAAGTGTGGTTGCTATACAAGACGAACGCACTGCCTTAAATGCGACTGCAGGTAGCTCTTGTGCTGCAACAGTTTTTATCTGTAGAAAAACGGCACTATAAAAGTTATGTTTCAATTCACAGCATACAAGGGAACTGCTAGATTTTTTTTTCCCCTGTATTATCTAGATTCGCTCTTGAATTGAAAATCGAGCGTTCGATTCTGCCGGTAAGACAACCAGTCCCTTTACGATTCGTTCGTTTGTTCCAATGGTAAATTGGTACTGGCGAATATCCCGGAGTCAAACCCGTCAATAACCTGCTCATAACCTGTCAAACCCATCAGTAACCTTTGAAAGAGGTGGGCTTCGAAAACTCTGTCAGCAAATCATTACTGCTGGCATCCGCTAATACCATTTCTCAAGTGCCTCCGCTTCTCATAGATGCGAAATACAACGGCGTTTTTGACTGTTTTAATACACATATACCGAAGGAATGTCCATTACTGATAAGAGATGGAGATGCAAGAATTTGAAGTTTTTACTTGTTTTTGCCGATTGAATTTGTGCTGCATTCCCTTTTTCCACTTCATCAG